AAGTTGCTGAGGCTGGCTTTGAACTCCCAGTCCTCCTGCCTCAGCCTCTGGAGCCACTGGGATTACAAGTGGGCACCATTGTGCCGAGTCCCATCATGCATTCTTGTTGTAGATGCCCTGTGGAAGGAACCGCTGAGCTAGAGCCGCTCCTCATCGTGCACTCTAAACACAAACCAGCAGCCAGCATCACACCAAAAGAGGCCAGGCTGAAGCCACTGCCCTCAAAGAGGAAGGTGGCGTGGAAACTCATCCTGATTCATCATTCCCACCGATGATGTCACAATTTGGTTCAATGCACTGAGGCAGGAAATAAATCGACTAACATCAATATTTAAATAGAAGGGGGAATATCTTTATTTGTAAACATTATTATGATCTGGAGAATCTGAGAGGCTCCAAAACCATAAATAAGAGGATTTGGTAGAAATGTCTGGTTGTAAGAAACATGACTGAAATGAATGGCTTTTCTTTAAACTGGCAGTTACCCAACAGGGGACAGTATGGGGTGTGGGGATATGTTCCATTCATAAAAGTAACCAAAATGTTAAATCAACAAATTAAACGAAACAGGATCTATATGGAAAAGTCTGTAAAGTTGTATTGCCAGACAAAAGCACAGGTCTGGAAAACAGAAGATACACCAGGGTCCTGTTTGCAATGCTTATAGCTTAAAAGTATCCACTCTTCCCAAGTGCATTAAGATTTTAAGTACTTCCTCTCAGAATGAGGTGAGATGGACTATGTAAAATGATTGTTTCTTTTTTGCCTTACTGGGGATCAAGCCCAGGGCCTATCTACCTCCAGCACCCCCCCACCTTTTTTTTTTTTTTTGAGACAGGATATCCTTAAGTTGCCAAGGCTGGCCTTGAACTTGCCATCCTCCTACCTCGGCCTCCTGAGTAGCTGGGATTACAGGTGTGTGCCACTGGGCTTGACTGCAGTGTCTTTTAAAAGTTCCTATGAAGCTACTCGGGGCAAATACTGCTAAATGCTTATATTTCTTCCTCACTAACATCTGTATATTAATAGGGCTAGCAATATCTCCCCAACATTACTTTATAACTTATGGACTTATTCCAGCCTCCCTTAAAGATAGGACTTTGTGGCTAAAATCTGAGCAACTGTTGTTGGAAAGGACTTCCAGAAAGACGTCTTCAAGAAGCGATAAATAGCCAGGTGGAGTGGTGCACACCCATGATCCCAGCAGCTGGGGAGGCTGAAAGTTCAAAGCCAGGGCTGGGGCTGTAGCTCAAAGGTAAAGCGCTTACCTTGCACGCACGTGTGAGGCATGGGTTCGATCCTCAGCACCACGTAAAAATAAATAAAGGTATTGTGTCCCATCCACAACAACAAAAAAATGTTAAAAAAAAAAAAAAAAGTCAGGGCTGAGGCTGTGGCTCAGCAGTAATGCACTTGCCCCGCATGTATGAGGCACTGGGTTTGATTCTTGGTACCACATATAAATAAATAAAATAAAGAGTTATCAACAAATATATATATATATATATATATGAATGAAAAAAATTCAAGCAACTCATTGAGACTCTGTTTCTAAATAAAGTGCAAAACAGGGCTAGGGGGTTCCCTGAGTTTCAATTCCCATTATCTCCCCCCCAGAAAAAAGCGATAAATAGAAGTTTGGAAAAGTCCTCCCCCACTTTTCCTCCTTCTTTCTGCTACCTGCAATGGAATGTCAATACAAATGGCTGGAACTCCAGAAGCCTTGTTGGATTGTGAGGTGAACTTTTTCAATGATGGAGATGAATTCAAGGACTATGGCACAGAAAGATGGAAAGACTCCGATGATTGTAAAACCACCATGTTAGCTCTGGCTACCTATTTAGAATTCTTTTATCTGACAGAGAAATAAACTTATGTTTTGTCCAAGCCACTATGATTTTAAGATTTGGCTATTATGTGTTACTAGTCCAAAATCTACTTGATATACTACTATCATCAAAATGTTATGTTGACTCAGAAAAAATAAATAAATAAAAAACAAGAAAATCCAGAAATAGATCCAAGGACTTATGAGGACTTGATAAATGAAAATATCACAGTTCAAGTCAGTTGGAGAAGAATGTTTTATTTATCTACCAAGTGTAACTGACATACTGGTTGTTGGAAAGAAAACAAAAATAAATCCTTCCACATATCATAAATTAGTTCCAAGTGGATCAGAAAATGTAAAGTAATTAATTAAAATTAATTAATAAAAGAAAAATTGGAAGAATACTTGCATAAACTGAGGTTAGGAACCATTTTAAGCAAAGCAGGAAAACTAAAGCCATGAACGAAAAGTCGAAAAAAAAAATCTGTTGTAGAAGAAACCAAAAGCAACGTTAAAAGACAGGTTGGTGGAAATAAGTGTGCTATATTCTTGATAGACAGTGGTCAGCTGTGGCCGGGGTCTACAAATATTCTCTGTAACGGGCCAGTTACTAAACATTTGGGACCTCAGCGCTGTAAGGTCTTTGTTGAGACTACTCAAGCCTGTCAGTGTGACAAAAAGCAACAGTAGGGCTGGGGCTGGGCTCATGGTATAACGCTTTCCCCAGCACCACATGGGAAAGAAAAAACACTAAATAAACAAAATAAAGGTATTGTGTCCAACTACAGCTAAAAAATAAAAATAAATAAACTGTAGACTATACATAAGAAAATAAGTGGGGTTATGTTCCAGTAAAAACTTATGAATACTAAAGTTTGGATTTTATATTATTTTCACACATCACAAAATAGTATTCTTCTTCCTTGTTTTCCAACCATTTAAAACTCTAAAAAAAAAAAAAAAAAAAAAAGATTTTCAACTTGTAGGACTTGCCTCAACAAGCGACTGGATGAATTTGTCCTGGGAGCTGTAGTTTGCAACCAGTGGCCTTTGATATACAAAGAGCTCCTGCAACTTGGCAAGAAAAGGCAAAAGACACCCAATATAAACAGGGGAGTTGCAGAAGAAGAAATCAAGTGGCCAATAAGCATTTGTATGGGTATGTGGAGTGTTTCCTGTTGAGTGAGTACAATAATGACAAATAGTCTCTGGAAGCTTTCCCTAAGAGACCAGAACCAGTCCGTTGACCATCAAGTGCCTGATGAAACTAGTAACTCAGAATGTGACTGAAAAGAGGGAGTGAGGGCCATGTCATACCTAGCTACTCAGCACCCAGAGCAGATCATCTTCCTTCCCTCTGCAACATTATTTTTAGTAATCACTGTGAAATAAAACCAAGCCTGGCGTTGAAGGCATTACATATATTAAAGCAGATTCAGCCTTTGTCTCCATAACCTCCTCTTTTGCTTTTTATTTTTCTTTGTTGTGCTGGGACAGTGCCCACCTTACACTAATCTAGGGACTGCTGTAAAGGGGCTTTTCAGATGTAATTACAGTCCCAAATCAGTTGACCTTTATAATAAGGCAAGAGCCATTATCTGGTTGAGCCTGACTAATAACATGGGCCCTCTAAAAGCAGTTTCTCTGGCTGGTGCAAGAACTTAAAAAAAAAAAGCAGCTTGACCCCAACACATTCATTTTAAGTCTTCTAAGACACCAAGCAGCAAACCTAGCTATGCTGTGCCCAGACTTCTCACCCACAGATAGATCTGGGAGTTAATAAATGCATGTTGTTTTAATTCACTAAGTTTGTGATAACTGGGTAGTGACAGAATACCAATATACCCCTTATTTCCTGTATACGGGCAGCTCCTGCCCTCCCAGGTGGGTACCTATCAGTAAGAAGCCTCAGGGAGAGTAATGAAGTTCTCTCTCCTCTGACCTGACCTGCTTCATCCTGATTGAGGACAAAATGTGCTCCAGTGGGCCAGGGAATTGGCCCCTTCCCTCATCTCATTCCTAGGACTTAGTAGAGGTCATTGGTCACTTTGATGCATAGATTTAAGAATCCCTGCTCTGGTAAAACCCCAGCCATCCCTTAATCAGCAACCCCCTAACTAGATGCTCACACATCTTCCAGCTTTTAATATGGTAAATGAGGCTGCAGAGAACATGCTAAGTATAAAGAACTTAGCCTGTATTTGGGGTTGTTTCCTAAGGTAGGATCTGCTGTCTGGAGGGAGGGACATTTTTTAGCCAGGTCCAGGGGCTCACGCCTGTAATCTCAGGCACTTGGAAGGATGAGGCAGGAGAATGGCAAGTTGGAGTCCAGCTTCAGCAATTCAGCCCAACACTGTTTCAGAGAGGAGAGGAAAAAGAAAAAGAAAAAAGGCAGGGGTGGGGGACCCCAGTATGGGGCTGGGTATGTAGCTCAGCGTTAGAGTGTCCCTGGATTCCAATAATTGGTACCACGAAGACAAAGGGAGGGACACCTTTTAAAAGGCTCTTTATAGAGCCAAACTGCTGTCTTGAAAGGCCCCATCAATCTTCCATTCTATCCAGAGTATGATGTCTTAAGGTCACCTGATCCGGACTGAGTCAATGAAAACTCTGGCTCAAACAGTTCGGAAATATTCCAGAACCGTCTTACCACCTTACCCCTGAACTCTTCTCTCTGGGTGACCACCCTCCCTCGCAACCGCCCAACCCCGCACTGGGAACCTCTGCCTGGAAATCTAAAAGCCCCCGACTACATCACGAGTCATTTTCCGCCCCGTATCCACCAAAGTGTCTCAGGTTCAGAAGGGAGACCCATCCCCGCGGCTGGGTGACAAGCACGACAACAGCCACGACAGCCAGATTCGCTACGGATGCCGCCGTTTAGGATGACCAGGGGCACATCAGGGCGGGATGGGAGGGCAGCAAGGGGTTCTGCAGGGTCCACGCGACCTTCCTCCCCGTCGCGGGCACAGCAAGTTCCGGATATTCGGGGACGTGTACACCTCACGCCTGTGAGCCCAGGTACAGGACAAAAAGGGGACAAACAGCATCGCGAAGGCTCCCAGAACCGGCGACGCTGGGAAAACAGGTGCGCGCGGAGCTCGGTTGCTGGACGTCAGACGCACGGCGGGAGAAAACTGCGCAGCCGCAGTGGGGCGGGCCCGGGCTCCGCGCATGCGCGCAGCGCAAACCATTTGGCGGGTTTTCCCGGCTGCTGGGTTCTGCTTCCCCAGCTGAGTAGCTCGGAGGTACCTTTTCCCCGAGCAGGACCTCCTCCGTCTCGAGGTTTCCGCGCCTTCCCTTCGGAGCTCTGGGGGGCTACCCCCACAGTAAAAATAAAAAGTATTTCGGTGTGATTGACGCCTGGGCGCGAGGTCGTGGGTCGCTTGGTGACGTCCGGTCTCGGGCCCAGGGACTGAAAGGATTAGAGAACCTTGCCTTGCTCGTCGCCCCGCTCGCCCGCGGGCGTCTAGGGCTCAGGTCGGAGCTGGGCTGGCCGGGCCCCCGGCCCCTGCTGAGTCGCCATGCCCGTGTCCACCCAGCAGCTGGCGGAGGAGCTGCAGATCTTCGGCCTGGACTGCGAGGACGCCCAGATTGAGAAACGTGAGTCCTGCGGAGTCGGCCGCGCGGCGGGAGGAATTAGGGGAGAAAATTTTGAGATTGGGATGTGGGGGCTTCGGAATGTGCCCGGGATACCCCTGGGGTCCGGAAAAAAAAAAAAAAAAAAGAACAGAGAGCACGATTTTAAATCTACACGGAGTGTCGGAAGGTGGAATTGGGACAAGCCAAGTTCAGACTGGACCCGAGGGCATCCCCGAGGCTAGAGGTTGCTGAAGGAAGAGAGGTTTTAGACTGTAGCTTTCTGTTCTTGGCTCCTCCCTGTCCAGTCCACGGAAACTCTAATACTGACCCAGCCCTTCTCTTGTCGACCTATTGGTGGTCTGGACAAATATGAACCCCTTGTGGTGGGTTCCTACATTTGAATTTTAGCTTTGGAAGGAACTTCGGGGAGCCTGTCAGCTCCCTCTGTGTCTAGATGGAGGAACACAGAAAAGGAGAGTTTATTGCTAAAGTTATGTGTGAACCCCAGTCCAGGGCTCCAGCAGGTGGACCGATGGTAAGGAATTATTTGAGGTAAAATCTCAGGAGATGTGAAGTTCTGTTTTAAAACTGGGAGGGATGTGCACCTGCCCTACCACTCATCAACTTGCTTGTTGCTGTTTTGCAGTCCTGGGGATGGGATCCCCAGCATCCCGTGGGTGCTAGGCAGGTGTTGTGCTCCTGAGCTACACCCCCAGCCCTTCATCCACACTTTAAACTTATTTTAGAGATAAAACCAGAATGCAAGCATATTATTTTCTGACGAGAAATTCCTTTCATAGACACCAGAATATTTCAAGTCCCTAAGGAGAATTAAAAGGAGACTCTCAGGCTGGGGTTGTGGCTCAGTGGTAGAGCGCTTGCCTAGCACGTGTGAGGCACTGGGTTCAATCCTCAGCACCACATATAAATAAATGAATAAAATAAAGGTCCATCAACATCTAAAAATATATTTTTTTTTTTAAAAAGGAGACTCTCTTTTCTTAAAAGGAGACTTGAATAAGAAACTAGTCAGAAACTTGTTTGGCAAACATGAAATCAAAACAATAGGGAACCAAATTTGTACCAGCAGACCAAAATACCTGCTGCTGCAACTCACATAGGCCCATCTGGGCACAGGTGCTGGAATTCTAGACTTTGCATTCATAATGGTTAGCCTCAACAAGACCATAATTGCTTGAGAGTCATACCGTATTTCCCTGGTCTATTCCAAGTCTACTAATGACTAATTTTTTACCCTTCTCCTTTAATGTCTTCTGTCCCATCCTTACTCACAACTGATGAACTTGCTTCCTGTGTTGCTGAGAAAATAGATGCATTAGAAAACTTCCATCAGCTGCTACCATTACTTTTCCCCTACCTGTGTGTGTGGCGTATACCTAGACTTCTGTTACAGTGATTAAACATGTTCCTTGCAAAAGCCAAACTACCCACTTGAGTCCTAAATTCCATTTCTTCTTATTTCCTTAAGGACATCACTCCAGTAATTCTCCACTCTTACATATTTGGGGGGGATTTATTGGGGGAGAGTACTGTGGATTGAACCCAGGATGCTTTACCACTGAGCTACATCCCATTCCTTTTTCTTTTTCTTTTGTTTTGTTTTTTAATTTGAGACAGGTTCTTGCTAAGTTGCTGAGGCTAGCCTCCTGCGTAAGCCTCTCAAGTCACTGAGATTACAGGTGTGTACTGCTGTGCCCGGCACATATTTCTGTTTTTCTCGCTCCAAGATTTTTTTTTCCTAAATAGCATAGAAATGTTGTTCTTACCTCTGTCTGTAAAGTATCCTGTTGACTCCTCTTTCAGCTGGAGTTTTCTTCTACAGCAAACCTCAAAAGGGCTGTGTGTACTTGCTCTTCACATTTCTCTTCCTGTCAGTAAGCGCTCCCTCGTCTCACCATTTCACTGAAACTGCTGTTACCAAAGTTCCTATTGACCTTCAGCCTACCAAAGCCAGGGATGAATTCTCAGTTCTCATCTAAATTACCAGCAGATTTGACACTGTTCATCATCTCCTATTTAATAATTTATTTAGCAGTGGAGTCACACCATGTTGCCCAGGCTGGCCTCAAACTCTAGATCCCCTCCTGCCTCAGCCTCCTAGATACCTGGGATTACAGGTGTGCCCCGTGGCGCCTGGCTCATTTCCTCTTCCTTAGTATGCATTTTTCTCTCAGCTTCTCTGTCCTTGCTCCTGGTTTTTCTTTAGCCTTGCTCGTCACCACTTACAGGCTTTGCAGATTCATCCTCATTTTAGCGTTGGAGCATCCAGGGCTCAGATCTGGGACCGCTGCTTTCTAGATGTGTTAACTGTCGTGGTCTCACCTGGTCCCATGGATTTATATCTTATTTAATTGCTGCTGATTCTCAAATTCATGTCTCAGCTGCACCTCTCACCTGACTGCAGGTGGTCTGTCCTGCCTACTTGATGTGTCCTGTTGGATGTCTAATTGGCATCTCCAACTCCAAGTCTAAAACTAAGCTCCTGGTACCTCCTCCCTCTCCCAGGAGCAGTTCTCCTACTCTCTCCCCCATCGCAGGTCATAATCACTCCCTTTTTCTACTTGCCCAGGCTAAAAAATGAACGTCCTCCTTGGCTTCTTTGTTTCTTACACCTCACATCTGGTCAGCAGATCCCACTGGCTTTATCTTCAGGGTGTACTTTTTCCTCAGCTTTTTTCTTTTATCCTTCTGAGACAGTAGAGTGCATTTTGACTTGTATATACATGGAGTATAACATTCCAGTTAGGATCCCGTTCTTGTGTTGCGCGTGATGTGGAGTTTCACCGGTCGGGTATACATATGAACACAGGAGGGTGATGCCTGACTTATTCTCCTGTTTTTTTCAGGCTGTACTTTACCAAGAGTCACCACTTGTCACCACCTCCACTGCCTCCACTTTGATCCAAGCCACCATCATCTCTTTCCTCTCACTTGGATTTTGCCATGATTCTCTTTCTTTCTTGCCCCCCAACCCCCTTTTTTTTTAAGATCTGGAGGTCAGGGCTGAGGATGTGGCTCAAGCAGTAGCGCGCTCGCCTGGCATGCGTGTGGCCCGGGTTCGATCCTCAGCACCACATATAAACAAAGATGTTGTGTCCACTGAAAAACTAAAAAAATAAATAAATATTTAAAAAAAAAAAAGATCTGGAGGTCAAACCCAGCTCATGCTAGGCAAGTGTTCTACTGAGCTGCATCCCCAGCCCCCAGGATTTCTTTTTTCTTTTTTTTTTTAAAGAAAGAGAAAGAGAGAGAGAGATATTTTTAATATTTATTTATTTTTTAGTTTTCAGCGGACACAACATCTTTATTTGTATGTGGTGCTGAGGATCGAACCCAGGCTGCACGCATGCCAGGCGAGCACGCTACTGCTTGAGCCACATCCCCAGCCCCCCAGGATTTTTTTTTTTAATATACATATTTTTAGTTGTAGATGAACACAATACTTTTCTTTTATTTGTTTATTTTTATGTGGTGCCGGGGATCAAACCCAGTGCCTCACACATGCTAAGCAAGCGCTCTACCACTGAGCCATAACCCCAGCCTCCAGGATTTTTTAATTGTCCCCCCAGCTCCTGTCCTTTTTCCCTTCAGTCCATGCTTAACACAGCATCCAGAGATCCTGTTAAATGGAAGTCAGATCATGTCACTGTTCTGTTCAAAACACTCCAGTGATTTCCTACTTGCTCAGAGCACTCTGATTACAGGGTAATTACAGGACCAGCAATTTGGATCCCTGTGCCCTTTCAACTCCTCTTCCCTCTCCTTGCTCCCTAGCCATGTGACTTTACTGATCCTGCTTCTACCTCAGGATCTTTGCACTTGTGGCTTCCTCTACTGAAATCTCTTCCCCTAAACACTGCCTGACATGCTCTTTCACTTCCTCCAAGTCTTTACTCAAATGTCACCTTCTCACAGAGACCTTCCCTAATCACCGTATTTGAATTTGCCAACCCCTTCCCCAGCTTCCTGATCCCTTCCCAGCTTTATTTTTCTACATAACACATTTAACCTTCTAACATATGGCCTATTTTATTTATTTGTTTGATAAACTTTATGAGAACAAGGTTCTTCTCTGTCCTGTTCGCTGCTGTGTTCCCAGTGCCTAGCATGGGGCTACACTAGTAGATGCTGAATAAATATCAACCAAATAAATAGAGGATTATTTTCACTTTGCAAGATGAAAATGAAGAATGAACCAAATTCTTACCTGTCCCCTTTTCCCCCCATAGTGGCAGAGCTGTGTGTTCTGTACGGACAGAACGAGGAGGGGATGGTGGGCGAGCTCATAGCCTTCTGCACCAGCACCAAGAAAGCTCACCTCACCCCTGAGGTCCTGAGCACTTTTGAACATGAGGTAAGAACAAAATGTGGGCAAACTGACGATGTCCTCCTGCCCCTGCTCCGTAGGGGTGTGTGCAGTGTAGGCAGGAGAGTGAGGGCTTTGGAATCAGGCCTGGATTCCAGGCCTACTGTGAGCTTGGGCAGGCTACTTAGTATCTCTGAGCCTTAGATTTCTCTTCCATCAAGGATTCTAATAATCTGTATTTTTGTGGTTACTGTCAGAATTAAATGAGAATGGATGTAGAACCCCTAAAATTACTCAGAAGATGGTGTTATTAGAATTGTTATCTTTGATTATATTTGAATGCCTATTATTATCTCAAGGCTGTGGGAAATGCTTCCCCCATTGTGAGACTACAGGTTAATAGTGAACTGTCTTTCTTCCTCAGATTCTGAGCAAAAGATTATCTAAGACCTGGCACAGTAGCTCCAAGGACAGTGGGCATGCGGGCACTAGAGACATCATTTCTATACAAGAGCTGTATCCTTTCCTGCCAAAAGTTTTCCATCAAGTCACATATTGTACTTTACAATTTGCCTGTGGTAGTAGGTGGAACTTAGAAACAAATAATAAAAGTTACCTAATATTTAGATTTCTATTTAATCAGCCCTTGCCTTAAGTGGAAGTTCATTATTGTTTTCCTTAACCAATGTTTTTAGAATTGAAGTGGAAGAAGAAGAGGAGACCCTTTTGAATTCTTACACCACACCCTCTAAGGTGAATATATGTTGTGTACAAATTGCATTCTATAAGTAGCAGTTCTTAATATTATCACAACCTATATAGATCTGAGGGGGAAAAGCAATCACTCCCCTATAGTTCCTACCATATTGCTACTTTGCATCTTCCTTCCAACTAGATACATAAATATTTTACGTAATAATAATTGTGAACATACAGTTATCCAGCTTTTTTCAGCAAGCATATTATAAGTATTTCTGTAAATACAATTTCTCCCTAATTGCCCCCATTTTTTAATGTTTATTTTTTATGTGGTGCTGAGGATCAAGCCCAGGGCCTCGCACGTGCTAGGCAAGCACTCTACTGCTGAGCCACAATCCCAGCCCCAATTGCCCCTTTTTTAATGGTTGCAGACTCTTATACCAAGTGGAGATACTGTAATTGAATAATCCATTCTGTGGTGTTGGACCCCAGTGTGAGAGGCTCGGTAGAGTAATGATAAAGTATTGCCTTCAGAGTCTGAGTCAGTTAGTGAACAACTTAGTGTGTTGTTTTGTCACTGAGATACAGTTTCCTTACCTATAAAATCAGGATTTACTTGTTCAGGTATTGAGCAGCTACTGTATGCCAAGCATTGTCCTAGACACTAGGAATGGGCAATCAATGAAACTGGCTTGAGGCAGGCGCAGTGGAGTGTGCCTGTTGTCTCAGCTCTTGGGAGGCTGAGGCGGGAGGATCACTTGAGCTCAGGAGTTCAGACCAGCCTGGACAACATAGAAAGACCCTGTTTCAAAAAAGAAAAAGGCACTGATGGGTGCTGCCCTTGAGAAGCAGCCCCCACCTTGGATGGCTTGAAGATAAAATGAATAAATAAAGAACAAGGCCCCCCTTGGCAGTGTATTCAGCAATAGCCATTACCAGGGATTGAACCCAGTACACTCTACCACTGAGCTACATCCCCAGCCCTTTATTTAGTTTTTATTTTGAGACAGGGTCTTGCTAAGTTGCCAAGGCTGGCTTTGTACTTAGGATCCTGCCACCTCAATCTAGGGACCACTGGGATTACAGGTGTGCACCACCACACCCTTTATATTAATTGAATTTGTGGGAATCCATGAACATGGAGTAAGCCTAAATTTTTCAAAGCAAATCACGTCCTAAGAAGCTAAGTTGTTTTGGTAACCTGATTGAAGAACAGAGAAACCAAAAACATGCCCTGTAAATTTTCGTACACAAACCAGATGCATAAAATATTATGGGAAACTGGGGCTGGGTGTGGCTCGGTGGTAGAGTGCTTGCCTAGCATGTACAAGGCTATGGGTTTGATTGAGTCCCAAGCCCACTCCCCAACCTACAGGAAATATTTCCCTTCGAGTTTGTTAAGATTGAGAGACTGTGTATAACTCAACTCCCAACTCGCCCAGAGATGATTTTCAGAGTCCATATCCCAGTGAAGGACACCTCCATTCTTACTTTGCTCAGGCCAAGAACCTGCAGACCTCAAATCCTCTTTTTCTCACACCCCATCCAACTAGCTTCCAATCCCATCTGCCTTCCTTCCAGGATCTGGCCACCTCCCACCACCTCTGTCAGGAGACAAAGGGCCCACAGCCTCTCTGTCCCCTGAGCAACTGGACAGCCTCCTCTCCAGTCCCCTGGCTCTTTCTTCCTTGGCCTCCTCTACTGATTCTCCCTGCAGCAGCCAGTGTTCCTTTCAGAAGAAAGCCTGGCCAGGATTCTCATGCTCACCACTCCCCGTGCTTCCTGTCCTCCCTGCTGACATTTACAGCCTGACCCAGGCTGTGACCCAGTGACGAGCTGGCCCCACCCTGCCCTGCCCTGCCCTCTCCTCGGGTCCTCCACACCGCTCTCCTTTCTGGTCTTCAGACATGACAAGAATAAAAAACGTGTCCAGCTCAAACCTGCCTCAAATGGCAGACCCCACCTCATCCCTGCCATGGCTTATTTTCTTGCTTTGTGTATCTCCACGGGGCTTGGTACCCCCAAAGTGAGTGCCTCTGTCAGAGTGGAAGGTTCTGAGGATGGACACTGGTTCATCTGCTTTTCCCTAATGCCTGGCCCATGATGGTTGTTGAATTGTAGAAGAATCTTTAGGGGAAGTAGTTTGAGAAAATGTGTCAAAACCATAAAATCTTTTATTATTTTTAGTTGTAGATGGACATAGTATCTTTATTTTTATGTGGTGCTGAGGATGGAACCCAGTGCCTCACACACGCTGTACCAATGAGCTACATTGGTAGATCAGCCAAGGTAGGCTGCGGGGGTGCGTAGGGCTCGGTGGTTAGCGCTTGCTTGGCATGTTCAAGGCCCTGGGTTCCATCCCCAGCACCAAAGGTATATCTCCTGAGGAAATAATCCAAATATGCAAAAATCTGTATCCATGAAGATATGCCTCTCAGCATTATTTGTAATCACCAGAAATTAGAAACAACCCATCATTCAACAAAAGACAGTTAGTTGTGTAAATTTTCATACAGCAATTCAAATAGCACAGCTACTCAAAAGGATAAAGATTGTTATGAGGGGCTGGGGTTGTGGCTCAGTGGTAGAGTGCTTGCCTAGCACATGTGAGGCCCTGGGTTTGATCCTCAGCACCATATTTAAAAAAAAAAAAAAAAAAGATAAATAAATAAAATAAAGGTATTGTGTCTACAACTAAAAAAAAAAAATTAAAAAAACATTGTAGGGTCTGGGGGCATAGCTCTGTTGGAGGAGTGCTTGCCTTGCATGCACGAGGCCCTGGGTTCAATTCCCCAGCACCACCAAAAATAAACAAATAAATTGTTTTTAAAACATCAGTGTAGGTACCTCAAGTTTACATTTAGACTAAGATTATAACTCTGTGTGTGTGTGTATGTGTGTTTATATTCCCCCCCCAGTACTGGGGAGTGAATCCAGGGCCTTGCACATTCTAGGCAACTACTCTACCTCTGAGCTACATCTCCAGTCCTAATTTTCATATATCTAAAACTGGAAAAGTATTAAGTATCAAGGCATATTCAGACATTGTTCTTGTATGAGGAAAGTAGCGTGGAGGGTTTGTTGATCTGGTTACCATGCAGCTACTTAATGATTTTGAATCTGTTCTTGGCTTCTATCTCTTGCAGCCACCATGGAACCACAGCTGGGTGGCATGACTTAAATACACCAGCAGGAGGAGCTCTTGGGCAGGAAAAGCTGCAGATGAGGCAGCCTCCTGGTTGTGGGCTGGGCAAAGATTTGTCTTTCCTGTTGAACTCAAATTATTCTAGTTATTCTAGGAGCTCTGGGTCTCTGGCTGGATTTTATCCTTCATTCTGAGCTTATCTTTGGATTCTTGTTGATGAGCCAAAAGAAAAAGAAAAAAAAAAAAAGCACCAAACCCAGAAGTGACCATGGATGAGGTGTTTGTTAACTATTCTCCAAGTATGAGCTCAGCCACGTTATCTGCTGGAGTCAGTCCCATCTTTAATTTGGAAAATGTGTGGTAGATTTGGCCAGAGTGAGTGTAACACGGTTCCACCCCTTCTCAGGAAAATGTGTGCAGGCACATCAAAACTGCATTGCCAGACTGGGGTTGTGGCTCGGTGGTAGAGTGTTTGCCTGGCACATGTGAGGCACTGGGTTCAATCCTCAGCACCACATAAAAATAAATAAATAAAATAAAGGTATTGTGTCCATCTACAAATGAAATAAAATTAATCTCAATTTTTAAAAAAATTGCATTGCCAAACTCAGATCTGTTCTAAAGCAAAGAGACAGGGACAGAAAGCGAACACACCAAAGATTTGACAGGACAGATTGCCCTCCTGGTGATCCTTTTTATGGTGGGTGGGATGGTGCATGCCTGGAATCCCAGCAACTCAGGAGGCTGAGGCAGGAGAATCACTACTTAGAGGCCAGACTGGGCAAATTAGACCCTGTCTCAATAAAATTTTGAAAGGGGTTGGGGATATAACTCAGTGGTAGAGCACCTTTGGATTAGATTGCCAGTACCCAAAAAAAAAAAAAAAGGTTTTTTTGTTTTGTTGGGTTTTTTTTTTTTTTTAGTTATTTAAAAAGAAAATATTGCTTGTGTTTTCTGTAATTTCCTTCAAAATGGGGCCAATGTTGAAGATTTCTTTCTGGAATTATACTTGGAAGATGGGACCTTGAGGGACCAACCGTTTGTGTCCTATCCTGTGCCCTTCGTTAGGGCACTGGTGGCCCTTTTCTTCCTCAGGAGCTCTACACATAATCAGCAACTTGGGTCCAGGGTGACTAGGATCTTGTTTGTTTCCAGGGTCCTCAGAAGCGAGCTATCACCATGCCAGAAACCCCCCTAACAAAAAGGAGCGTGTCTACTCGTAGCCCACATCAGCTCCTCTCTCCATCGAGTTTCTCTCCAAGGTATGGATCCTACTAATTCAGGTGCCCAGAAGGAAGCCCTCCTCCCCTTTCTCTGGCTGCCTGGCAGAGGCTGACTGCGGAGTAGCTTATTTGCCGTGGGTGGGTGTGCAGCTCTGGCTCGGCCGCCCGGCTCTCTCTTCCCTGGTGGAAAATTCCCGTGTCTTACAGTAGCCGAGGAGACCCACTTTCCGCCCACTTCTCCAGGGCTGGTTTCCTAGGTCAGGAACTGAGGCCTGATTGGAGGCAGCCCGTCTGCTCAGAAGCCCAGAGTTTTGCCAGTAGAAACAAACATTTTTGCCTGCTTTTGTCAGTTTGTTTCTTCTTTTTGTAATCTAAAGTGTTTATTTTCTAAAAAGCATAACACACATCTTTGTTCATAATGTTGCATAACCTGTTTGTTGTTCCTCACTCAGGTTACAACTAGTTTCTGAGAGTTTCCTTGTCACCGAGACTCTACACGGACTTAATTGATATTTTTTCCCTGCTGCCACCACTGCACCTAAACCCACAGAGATCATATGTGACTTTTTGAAATCCGTAAATGATATGTCTTATGTTAGGGAATCCTATAGGTACGTGCTTTGCTGAGTAGAAGTGTTTACAGGTACTTTAGAGGACGCTTGGGAACCGTGACGTTAACCATTTAGGGAAATCCCAACCACCAAGAGTCACCACCCCAGATGCATACTTTTAGACCATCCAGAATACCTTGGAAAGGCAGAGACAGAAGCTCTGCAGGCTTTCGGGATTAATGGTCACGAACTTTGAAGGACAATTTGATTTCACTGTGGTCCAGTAGAGCTTGGGAGAGATCTTAGACTGCTTTTTATTTTTTATTCTTTTTACTGAGGATTGAACCTACGGGTGCTTAACCAGTGAGCCACATCCTTGGCCTTTTTTTATATTTTATTTAGAGACAAGCTCTCACTGATTTGCTAAGTGCCTTTCTAAATTGCTGAGGCTGGCTTTGAACTCCCAAGCTGCTGGGATTACAGGCATACACTACCATGCCTGCCTCAGACTGCTTTTGAAAACAAGCTTAACTAAGAACATCTTTGAAACCCAGTGTGTGGCAATGGTTCTCGTGGATGCCCCAGCCCTTACGGGAGCTGAGTTCTCCAAGCTGCAGTCCTTTGAAACCCGCGCACCTGGTTGCATGAAAGGGCCGTGGAGTCTCATAGGGAGGAACTCAGAGAAGTCAGGGATGTGCTGCCTCATCAGTTTTTAATACATGCTAATAAAGCTGACATCAGAAGCTGGCTTTGTAATTTATGAAAGTAACTTGTAAATTATTCAGGTAGAGGCAGCATTGGAGATGGAGATAATTAGTTGAGCTCATTTTCTATAGCGTCCATCTGGAGAGAAGGAACGGTGGCCCCAGAGGCAGTAGTGCCCCATATAAGATTAGTTCCTGAAGAGTTTTGGTGCAGTAAATGAAGTCTGTTTTAAGTAGACCCGTCTGGAGGTACGTGATGTTCACAACTGAAGGATTAGAGCAGATCAGCAGTGTCTGTGTGTTCTGGTGTGATTCTCCAGCCAGGGAGTAGAAATATGAGAGCTTAGCAGTTGGCCTTGGAGCATGGGAATGTTTGCTCACCAGTGACTGTTAATTCATGACCTCTGCACCTCCTTAGACACCAGGGAAATTGGTAATTTTGCTAACTTCATTTTATTGTTTTTTTTCCCCCCTACCTTGGACTGCATTGTGAATTTTTATATATTCTCGACAACTTTTGGCTTATGCACAGTTCCAGGCTCAGAATGTCCTGATAAATGCTGACAATTCATAAGAAGAAAGAAAAATGATACCTGAAACTTGCTTTTCATTCGATTCAGAGTTTGAGTTGTGTCCTTGTTTAGTTAATACCAGGACGACAACCTTTTAAAATGATGTGTCTGTCTTTAAACTTCTCTAAACACGTTTGGTATTCCTCCTCGATCTGGTATTCCTCAGCCTCTCATTCCTGAGATTCCTGAAAGGTCCCAGTATGTCCAATCCCACTACGCTGATTAAAGACCATCTTGGTTTTTCTCTAGTGCCCATTTCCCAAATGTAACCCTGTTTATTCCTCCCTCCTGTTAGCTGTGAACACTGTCTGTGTTGTTCCCCTTAGTGCTACTCCCTCCCAGAAATACAACTCAAGAAATAACCGAGGAGAAGTGGTCACCACCTTTGGCTCTGCACAGGGCGTGTCGTGGTCTGGGAGAGGAGGAGCTGGAAGCATCAGCCTGAAGGTCCTGGGGTATCCAGAGCCACTGACTGGGAGCTACAAATCCATGTTCCAGAAGCTCCCAGACATTCGAGAAGGTGATCAGCGTTTCCCTTTGAAATTCTGGTGGGTGTAAAACCCCCAGGAGGGGTTTAGAGAAGTAACAAAGGCTGGGCTGGGCTGCAGAATAAGCTCCAAGGCAGCCTTTGAATACCCAAGCTGGCAGAGTCCTCGGGTGCCTGTTAGAGGAGGGGCGCTGGCGGTACTGTCAGTAACTCCCAAGTCCATCACTTTGCCAAGGAAGAAACATACCCACATCCAGTATTGAAAACAGGAGCTACGAAAGAAATTCCGTTTAAAGTTAAGGACGTTTATGGCTTCTTCCTTGGGAGCCCTCTCCAGGTTGCCTCGACTTGCCCAAAACTTCAGTAGAACCTGAGGAAGGGTGGCGATTCACACTAACTCCCTGGGACTGGGCCATGTGACCCCTATATTCAGCAACCAATGGGCTGGGGCTTTGGATGTCCAGGCACCTCCCTGCCTCTGTAAAATGACTGACTAATATTTCACAATGTGCCGTGTTTTCTTTTCTTGGCAAGTGAAATGTCTTAAGCATAACGCGTTTTGACCTCTGGGGTTACAGTTCTGACCTGTAAGATAGAAGAACTTGGCAGTGAACTCAAGGAACACTACAGGATCGAGGCCTTTACTCCTCTTCTGGTCCCAGCCCAAGTAAGTTGTTCTGAGAGTTCTCGCTAATTAGTCTCACGGTGGCAGAGAGACTTCTGTCTTGGTTAAATTGGGCAGAATGGGTCCTTCCGAAGAAGCCTTATGAGTGTTCCCACTTGGATCGGGGTCTTGCCCTAAGCAAAGGCTGAAGGCTTTGTTCCCCTTGGAGGTGAGGCAGAAAGCCCGGGAGAGTTCCACAGGTAGAAGCATTCAGGAGTCCAGGATAAGGTGGCAGCGAGAATGGGATTTCCAGAGTCTCATTACCTCAATGGTGTGACTCCCCTGGTTCCGCCTCTGTATTTGCAGTGACTCCCCTGTTTTGGTCCAGTGACAGCCGGTAGTATCTTTGCGTCAGGGTTAAAATCTGGCATATGTGCTGGTGCTTTCTCTCTTCATCTAAGGAGAGACCTCCTGCAAGATTCTCTTTGTGTGAGTGCGATGCTGGGGATTTCATTCGGGCATTGTACAACTGAGCTACACCCCCAGCCCATTTTTTTTTAATTTTGGGTACCGTGGATTGAACTCAGGGGCACTCAACCACTGAGCCCCATCCTCAGGCCTGTTTTGTATTTTATTTAGAGACAGGGTCTCACTGAGTTACTTAGTGCCTCACCTTTGCTAAAGCTGGCTTTGAACTCATGATCCTCCTTCCTCATCCCCCCATGCTGCTGGGATTTCAGGCGCGTACCACCACACCCACATGCCTGGCACTCACAGCCCTTTTAAAAAAAAAAACAAAAAACTGTTTTAGTTGTAGCTGGACACAATACCTTTATTTTTATTTTTATGTGGTGCTGAGGATCGAACCCTGCACCTTGCACGTGCTAGGCGAGCACTCTATCGCTGAGCCACACCTTCAGCCCCCCACAACCCTTTTTTAAGGTATGATCTCACTAAGTTGCTAAGTAAGGCTGGCCTCAAACTTGTAATCCTCCTGCCTCAGTCTCCCAAGAAGTACCTGTGCCACCATACCTAGCATGCAAGAGTCTACAGTGTCTTTGTCATGTGTTTGCATCCAGGGAAGAATGGTCCGTTAGGAAAAAGATATGCAAAACTGCCCTACTCAGGAGATTTGGAGGAATCAGGAGGAAGTATGGGTAGGGGCAGGGATGCACAATCATGGAGGAAAGATTAGACTTCCTCTGTTTGTTCTTAAGAGTGGGAACATGACAGAGGAAGCCATTGGGGGAAAGATTTTGTTCAATCTAACGAAGAACTTCCTGTTCAGAAGCAGCATGGTGTGTGACTAGGGATGTGGCTCTGGAGCCAGAGTCCTGCACTTGAAACCTAGGCTTCACCTGGGTTTGACCTTGACCGAGTTATCTAACTCTCTTGTTTTCCTCGTCTTAAAATGGACATGGTCATACCTAGCCCATGTTGTGAGAATTAAATGAGTTAATACACATCAGCCCTGAGAACAGAGCCTGGGAACCAGGCTCCATAGGTGGGAGCTATTACGAAGCCCACTACTCGTGGATGCCAAGGTTATGATGGGTGTGGACAAGCGCCCCTTCACTGGAGATTCAGGCAGCCTCTTGGAGGGGCTCACGTGGTGGGTGGGTGGACTCGGTGCCCCACCTCTGGTGGTGATGTGGTCAATTCAGAGTCAAGGGGATACTCAGCCAGAAAAGCGAGTGTTGTGTGGGGTTTGTTTTGCCTTTGCCCTGTTGCCTTTGGATGTGGCGCTGCTGTCCCAAAGACTGTCATACTTACATTATTCCATTTTTTCCCTAGGAGCCTGTCACCCTGCTGGGCCAGATAGGCTGTGACAGCAATGGGAAACTGAACAGCAAGTCAGTGATTCTGGAGGGAGACCGGGAGCACTCCTCAGGTGCTCAGATTCCAGTGGACTTGACTGAGCTCAAAGAGTACTCTCTGTTTCCTGGACAGGTGAGATAGGAGGGCCTGCCTGGGGTGCAAGAGGCCACTTGCACATATGAGTGCTGCATCTTGGGCAGCTGCTTCTGGATTTCTGTCTCCGATGCTGTGAGATGTGGCTGCTGGGCCTGAGGCACCATTGTAAGGATTCGGTTCTCCCTGATGGGAGAACCCAAGGTGTGTGACTGTGGGTAGGGCACTTACCTTTCTGAGCCCACAGTGTCTTCATCTGTAAAGTGGTAATGATAATTCTTACCCATGGAATGGTTGTGAGAATTAGGTCATTTATGTGGAGCATAATTATTATTACTCTAAAGCCCCCTTGATTTGTTTTCAAGAGCCAGGCATGGTGGTGCACCCCTGTAATCCCAGCAATTTGGGAGGCTGGGACCGGAGGATTACAGTTCAAGACTAGCCTTAGCAACTCAGCAAGACCCTGCCTCAAAATAAAAATTAAAAGGGCCAGAGTTGTGGCTCAATGTAGAGCACTCCTTGGTTCAATCCTCAATACCACAAAAAGAAAAAGAATCTGCTAAGTTTACAGTTGCAAAATACTTTTTAAAGTAATCTATTCAAACCTCCTATTTGTCTACCTGTTTAGCAGTCCTGTGTTGTTTCTCTTTCAGGTTGTGATTATGGAAGGAATTAACACCACTGGCAGAAAACTTATTGCCACCAAACTCTACGAGGTACAGGGTAGCGCCCCTCCTCCCTCTCTGTCGGCTCCAGGCACAGGACATGCAGTCCTGGGTCCTAGGAAAGGGTCCTTCTTAACAACCCGCTTAACAGTCAGTTCTTTCTATAGAGTGGACCCACCTCTAGGCCACAGGTCAGCAAGCCATTCTGTAAAGGGCCAGATAGCAAATATTTCAGGCTGGGCGGGCCATAGGCTCCTGTCAGTCATTCAGCTCTGCCATTAAGGACAGAAACAACCCCAGACAACCCACCAATGAATGTGGCTGAGTTCTAATAAAACTTTATTTATAAAAATGGGAAGCCCCCAGATTTGGCTCCAGGCTACAGTTCACCTGTCACTGCTCCAGGTGACAGCCCTCCAGAGACTCTCATAGGATGCCAGGGAAAGCACAGGACCCCTCTCTCCCATCCTTGCCTGGAAGTAGACTGATGTTCCAGGCACCTGCTTTGCTGCCACTGGCTGCCAGGCATTTTGTGAGAGTTTTATCAGTGACCTCCCATTGCCTGGGCTGCTTTGCACTCAGAGCCATTTAGAAAAATGACAGGTCCTCTTGCCCCTGGGCTGTTAGCTCCAAGGAGCAACAGAGAGAGGTGCGCCCTCCCCTCACACCGCCCTCTGTTCTCCCACGACACACCCACAGACAGCCCACTCACCTTCCTTACCAAAGTGAGGGTGGAGCGAGACCTCAGCTGAGCTTTTCTCCTGTTTTAAGGGTGTGCCGCTTCCGTTTTATCAGCCCACTGAAGAGGACGGAGGTAAGTTTGGGTTCAAAAGCCAGTTTTCCAACAGTGAGGGTGGCAGACAGGCTTTGGGAGGGCGTTGCACAGGCCCAGGAAGCTCCGAGGGCTTCTAGGGGTGATGTAGCTGCGCAGTGAGGACATAGCCCACCTGTGGACGCCCGGCCCTTTGTCCAAGAGCCCCAGGTCCAAGCCTCATGACCTGGTAGTGTTATCACTTCTGACTACAGGAAGCACATCCTTTAAAGACCACACTGACAGGCATTTGGAAGTTACTTTGAAAAGGAAAAATATGTGCATTTTTTAAAAATAACTTATTGGCATCCTGGATTGGATCCTAGAAGAGAAAAGAGCACTGGTGAGAAAACTAGGGAGCTCAGGATAAAGCCAAGAGTTAACTGTAATTAACATACCAAGGTTCCTTATGCCATAGTTACCTAAGGCAGAAATGTTAGGGTGCGCTGGGTGAGAGGCAGGCAGGAGTCCTGCGCCATCTCTATCTTCTAAAGATATTCCAAAATTAAAAGATTATGTTAAAAAAAAAAAAAAAATCTAGGGGCTGGGGATGTGGCTCAAGCGGTAGCGCGCTCGCCTGGCATGTGTGCGGCCTGGGTTTGATCCTCAGCACCACATACAAACAAAGATGTTGTGTCCGCCGAAAACTAAAAAATAAATATTTAAAAAAAAAAATCTAAGAAAGCCTGTTGTTGATTTGGAACTAATCTAGATAAGGAAATGCAAAAAGAAACTTAGGCAAACTTTGCCTCAAAATATTTTTAGGCAAACTTGAGAACATTATATTAAGCAAAATAAGCCAAATCCAGGAAGTCAAGGGTTATGTGTTGCTCATGTGGAAACTAAGAGGAAAGAGGAAGAGAAAGGGAGGATCTCATGAAAATCAGAGAGAGATCAGTGGAGTAGAGGAAAGGGAACGGGGAGGGAGGAGGGGACGGAAAGGGGAACTGGGGGAGTGATATTGACCAGATTATACTTATATTGTGTGCATGTACAAATCCTACCATTGCACACAAATATAATTTACCAGTAAAAAACAGACAAAACATCTAGGCATTTTTCTAAGCAAAGTGGAACACCATTAGAGATGAAAAGCAGCGCCAGGCTCTCCCGTGGGATGACTTCATCTTACTGCCTGACTTATGCCCCACCAGGAGCTGGAATAAGAAGTTATTCTTGTGACAGTGGGAGCCAAGATGTGTTGGCCCTGTGCTGTCCACAGGTGTCAGCTGAGCACCTGAGATATAGCTAAAGCTACTACTAAGGAACTGGATTCTTAATTTTAAAAGATACTCAGTTCAGATATTGGAAAATGTGTAATTAGCTTGGAGATAACTTGGACACGTGAATTTATTTATTTGTTTGTTTGTTTATTGAACTCAGGGGGCACTCAAACACTGAGCCACATTCCCAGCCCAATTTTGTATTTTTATTAGAGATAGGGTCTCCCTCAGTTGCTTAGCACTCACTGTTGCTGAGGTTGGCTTTTAACTCATGATCCTCCTATCTCAGCCTCCCCAGCCGCTGGAATTACAGGCATGCGCCACCATGCCCAGCTCAATTTATTTTTTTCAACTGTAAATCTCATAAAATCTAAATAACTGTCAGGTATTTCCAATAAATGTGTAATATCAGAATTGAGATGAACTAAAAAAACAACTTAGTATGAAAATAATACAAAATATTCCACTAGATTAAAAAAAAAAAAAAAGGAGTAGACTCAGGCCCAGCTATTCAGGAGGAATACAAGTTCAAGGCCAGCCTGGACAACTCAGCAAGACCCTGACTCAGATTTTTAAAAATTTAAAAACTGGGAATGTGGGCTCAGTGGTAGAGCACTCCTGGATTCAGTCCCCAGTACACACCCACCCCCCAAAAAAGATGAGTAGTGGATGGCAGACTAGTGTATTGTCACTACCCTGTGCCAGTCAGCAGCGTGTGAGGTCATTCTTGGAGATGACCTAGAATCAGGAACAAAATTTAGTAATTTATGACATTGCACGGTTTATCAGAAAATATGTGTTTATGAGGAAAATATGTGTGTAAAGGGTGGCATGGTGGTATCAGATCAACTTCAAGGGATGAATCAACATGGCTTAGGTACCAGGAGCCCGAGCCATGGGCCAGGAGCTTTTGGATGAGGAATTAAACAGACGGTTGTAGAGATACGAATGAGACGTGGACCTCGCCCTCTCAGCACTCACTGTGTCCTCTGGTACCTTTACGTCTCTGGTAGGCACACAGAACCAACCCGACTTTGTCCCCTGCCCACCACCACACAAACTGCTTTCCCATTGAACGGAATGCTTTGTCTTTGTTTGTGGGGCCGCTGTGACGGTGGTGGACTGAATGATGCCCTTCCTGTCCCTGGAACCTGTGAAGATGTTGCCTTTTATGGCAAAAGGAACTGTGTTATTAAGTTAAAGACCCTGAGATGGGGAGATTGTACTGGATTACCCAGGGGGCTGCCTGTCATCACATTGGTCCTTATGAAAGAGGATGGCAGGATGGCAGGATGATCAGAGTCAGAAATGTGAGGCTGCCGGCTTCCAAGATGGAAGGCAGAGCCATTCACCAGGGAACCCAGGTGGCCTCTGAAAGCTAGAAAAGACAAGGAAAATGGGTTCTCCCCTAGCCCACCTGCCCTGCCAGTACCTTGATTTTAGAACTTTTAAATCTCCAGAAATGTAAGATGAAAGATTTGTTTTAAGCCACTAAGTTTGAGGTAAATTGTTGCAGCAATGCTCGGAAGCTATACAACTGCATGTCAGGAAGCCAGAGTTCTGGGCTCTGGGTGGTCAGTGGTGGAGCACTTGCCTAGACTGCGCTAGGTCCCGGGTTCAATCCCTAGGACTGCCAATTTTTTTTTTAAAAAGTCAAAGTTCTTAGGATTTTGTTGTCATTGTAAGCTACAAAAACTGACCCAGATCAATATCAGAATTTGTTCAGGGAAATCCAGGCAGCTTACAGACTGGACAGGGGCTGGAGACCCAGGCTTGGGACCAGGACACAGGCCCAGCAGCTCTTGTGTCCAGGTAACAGGAACCCCCCGGCTCTGTCACCCAAACACCTGACTGGAGTAGGGCTCCAGCCTTCCTCCTGTCCTGGGACAGGCCCTCTCCAGATTCCAGACCCCAGCAGGAAGGTGTGAATGGCCTGAGCTGGGTCATGTGCCTGGCCCTGGGCTTGCTGAGGACAGAGCACCTGACTTCCAGCCCCACTTGCCTGCCCTGTGGGGAGAGGGCCAACTCTCCAAAAGCAAAGCATCTGCTGTTAGAAAGTCTGACAGGAAACAGCACCTGCAGCTCCCCTTCCAGGCCTTCAGCCCACCTGCCTCTGGACTCTCCAGCCCCTCTGGACCCGCATGGTCCCAATGCTGAGCACGATTGAGTCTCAGTGAGGGTGAGGGCTTTCCTGATGGCTGTGTCTTCATGTCCCTCAGGTACACTGCTGGGAAGCACTGCTGTGGCTATGGTTGTTTGCAGACCTGCCTGTGTCCTCCATCTGGTGGGGTGTCCTTGGAGGAAGGACGAGGTCTTCCTCCTCTTGGGTCCCCAGGCCACACATATATGGAAACGCAGTGTGGGGACTCCCAGGGCATTTTCCTCCAGAGGCCCTTCCTGCTCCCACCACCCCAGTGCCCGTCCTCTACTCAAGACCTGACAGTCCTTTCTGTCTTAGATTTTGAGCAGACCATGGTCATGGTTGCCTGTGGGCCCTACACCACGTCTGACAGCATCACCTACGAGCCCCTGCTGGACCTGATCACTGTCATCAACCGCGACCGGCCGGATGTCTGCGTCCTGGTAGGAGCCCCCGGGATGGCTCTGTGCAGGGAGGCGGCTGGGGGAGAACAGCAGAGTCCGTCTCAGAAAGGGGTCTTGCTGCTGTTCCAAGTCTTTCAGAAACACGTCAGTTCTTGTTGTTTTTAAACCCTTTTTAGTTCTCCGTCTGCATCTCTGGAGAGGTGAATGTGATCTAGAGGCCTTCGCTAAATCTAAATGCCCAGCTTTTTTTTCCTCTCTTCATTGATTTTACAATATTCTTGCCTCTGTTTCCTTTTTCCAGCTTTTGAACCAAATCTTTTTGTGTCTAAAGTCCTGCTGTTAGCATGGTGGTCAGTTGTCCTTGCTAGATATAGAAAGAAAATAGCCCAGTGCCCTGGGGAGGGGCAGCAGTACAGGTTGTGGGCCCTGGGAGCCCTCTCCACAGGCCTCAGGTGTCTCTGCCTGTGGAGTTGGCAGGGCGCCCCCTGCCGAATGTCCCCAAGTTCTCCAGGCAGCCTTGGCAGGACAGGGGACCCTGGGCAGAGAATGGCAAGAAGTCACCTGTAGGTGTTTGCAGACTTATGCGGTCCTGACTTGTTCTTTTGGTGTCTTTGTTTCTCCCTTTCGGGGCAGTTTGGTCCTTTCCTGGATGCTAAGCACGAGCAGGTGGAGGTAAGTGCCTCGGGATGGTGAGGAGGGGGACCGGGCACTTCCCTTCGGTCCAGGCCTTGCTTTTATTTCCACTTTCCACATCTATAACAAACCTAAATTAAACCTGTGGCTAATCAAAAAATATTGTAGCCAGGCATTAATAAATATCTTGAATTTGAGGTACTCATTTCACTAGGATATAAGGCCATCTGGAAACTGGCGGGGTGGGGGGTGAAGTGCACTGGTTTCTTTGTGGCACTTGGTGCTAAGGCACAAGAGCAGCGGCTGAAGTGCAGGCACCCCTGAGGTGGGAGCTGTGCTCTGACCATATCTGACACGGCCACTGCCCTGAGCTGGTGACCATCTGGCTATCCTTAGACCCATAAAACACAAATGGCCCTTCCTAGGACATCCTTGTGGCCAAGGCCAGGGCCTCCTGCCCTTGACTCAGGCTACTTCACCTTCCATTGACAAGATTTCAAAGCCCTCCTCTTCCTGCTAGTCTCTCAGCCTACGTTCAGCAGATTGATTCTTCCTCACGTACTCCCCACCCACCTGTACCCAGCTCCCGGTGGACAGAGAGCGCGTCCTTTTCATCCTTCAGCTCCAAGCCCGACAGCCATCACCCAAGGGTCACCTAGCAAGTATGACAAGTGAATGACACCAGAGACCACCTCTAAATCCCCATCCTTTCCCTTGCAGAACTGTCTGCTGACAAGCCCATTTGAAGATGTCTTTAGGCAGTGTCTGCGAACCATCATCGAAGGGACGAGAAGGTCAGCACTCCAGATGCTGGACAGAACCCAAAGCTTCCTCTTCTAGGGCTTCCCACTAAGAAACCGGAACTATTTAAACCTTAATGTTAGTTCCCATCCTTTTCGTCCTTTTGAACTATGAGATCAGATAGAACCCTTGAACTTCAAGTGTACAGGCGCCAAGTGATGCGGTGGCTTTGTGAAGCGCTGAGATAAACCAACTTGAAAGGAAAAGCTGCACCAGCCCTCGCTCTTCCCTTGCTCTTTCTCCTCTCTTTCTATTTCTCATTCTGTATGCACCCTGGTGTCCATGGGGATGTTCTGGGATGGCTTTGAGAGGTCCTTATGACTGGCAGCAGAGCCCATGAGGCCTAGGCTTCTCCTTGGGCGACCATTTTGGGGTGAGCCAGTTCCTTCCCTGAGTTGGTGCTTCCCGTGTTCAGTGGGACCTGCCGAGGATGGGGGTCTTAAGGGACTGCAGAAGTCACAGCAGTGATGGAAGAGCTGTGCGTTTCTAATTTGAAAGGAGAGTCGGTCCCAGGAAGAGTCTAATGCTAGAAGCAGGACGTGATGCGGGAAGCTGATTCTCCAGTCCTGTCCCTTTTCCCAGGTGCCAGGGGCTGAAGAAGTTGGTGTAGTAACAGAGCTACTCGTGGGATCTGCCTGCCCGTAGCTGAGCTCATAAAAAAATCAAATATTGCTGTGCTGAGCTTTTAAAAACAAGCCTGTAACAAAGGTGGTTTTCAAAACAAGGTGCATAATCTTCCACCTTTGGGCATGAAAACAGATCCCCAAAGTGATTAGTCATAACACTTCCTTCTCCTACCGGCAGTGTGGGCCAGTGCAGGGGGCAGCAGACCTGAGAGTGAGCACCCCAGTAATTCACCCCGGAGCCAGAAGACAGGCTGGGCCTGTCATCTGAAAGTCCTCCCCACTCCCTCCCTCAGTGACAGTGACACAAGTGCCTTCCCACTTCCTCAGATCTGTCATGATGCCAGCCAGGTTCATCAGATCTGGAGAATGCTTAGAGCTCAGGAGACACCCTCCCCCACCCCCACACCAAAAATAAAAAGCAGCAGCAGGATCGGGGCCACATGTCCCTGTTGTCAGCCATGGGAATCCATAGGGGCTGCAGCAGGGCCCAGCGTGGCTGGTACTTGCAGTTTGAGGCTGGGTTCTGATTTGGGTTCCTCACCCCATGTGGTATTGACAGCAATGATACAAACAAGGAACAGACCAGGCATTGTCACCCTGAGGCGGGCACCCAGCACTACCAGGCACTTTCATCTGCAGCCAGTGTGTGCCACGGGGCGGGAGCTGCCCCACCCTTCCAGAAACAGTATATAAGTGGTCCTTGGCCGAGGACTTCTTTCTATTCCTAGAGGTCAGGAATGCCAAGCACTGCGCTCATTTGTCAGTAGAGGACAGAGTCAGCAAGGAAGGACCAGCTCCTGTGCTGTCCATGTGAGGGAGCGGCTGTGAGACCCCCCCCCCCCATGTGATGTGTGAGGTTGTGTGATACTGAGACAGTTGGAATTTTCTTCCTGATCCCTCCCCCAAAGCCAGGAAGCTGTTTCCTCCTCAACAAGCTCACTTCCAAATTCGACCCTGAGACAGCAACTCCAGCCTCTGACAGCAGCCAGCTGTGCCTCATTCTTTGCATGCATCACAGATTATGAGTCCTTGGAACCTAGAGCCAAGATGTCCCCAGTCCCCTCCCCGCTGGCCTGTTCTCCAGATTCCAGCACCAGAGGTGGACTTGAATAATATAATGAGGCTTCAGTGCCAAAGGGATTGTAATTAATACGCAGAGTGCCCTTGGTCTCAACATCCTGGTTTTCTTTGCCGCACGCAGTCTGGGTTCACTCTTGGGAGTAGGCATGATGGACAAGTGATAGGGTGATAGCAGTCAACACTGAGATCATACTTGAAAATCCCTGTGCCTATGCCTGCAGGGCCATAGCATTGTCAGCAAGAAAAGGAGCTGGAAGCAAGAGCTGTTGGCAGGTTTTAAACATGCCCCAAAGTAATGCTTTACGCCTATTTGGTTTACAAAAGGCCCCTCTGCCAACCAAGCTGAGGAGCCAAGGAAAACGGCTTTTCCCCCTTTCCTCTTTTGTGCAGCCGGGGAAAATAAACAGTTGGCCTAGAGAGTTAGCAGCTTTCCCTCATGTTGTGGCCCTAGAGATTCTCCTTCTGCCTCTGTTAGAGCAGACATCTGCTGCCGTCTCTGCTTCTGCTGTTGCTGTTAAGTATGTCTTCCACTCCTGCGAGCCAGTCGGTCCGAGGTTGAAACCCGGGCGCTGGCACAGAGAAGCCAGCACGTGTCCTGCACGTCTTCACTGTCCTATCAGGGCCCAGCCTGTGGCTACTCGAGGGGTTTCAGCTTGATCTTGAAAGTACTAAGGCAGCCTCCGATCTGCCCAGCGTGCCTGGTTTCTCCCTGGACAGGAGTCCCCATCTTCTGTGGCAGAACCTGGCCAGGCGTCTGGGGGACAGTTCAGTGCCTCTGCTGTGTGTGTCCAGGGATCAGGGGTTGAACTACAGGCCCAGTGCCTGCTCTGAGCCCGGGATTCTTTGGCCAAATCCTCGTCAGTCTAGATTTTCTAGATCTCAATTTCTTTTCCTTTTTCTACCAAATAATAGTTTTCCTCTGCCCCCCAGTGGGATGCCACACAGAGGAAGGGATGGTGTGTCCTGGGCCACAGAAGCTGGTCAAAATGGATGTGTGTACATGAGGGCAAATGGCACTTCCCTTGCGTGTCCAGGGTGGCAGCCACTCTGGGGCAGAGCGCCTTCCACGTCCACCCTGCCGAGGGTCTGCGGTGTCCAGCCCTCACTCCTGGGCCATGTGGCCCACTGCCTGGACCCAGCGGCTCTCACTGTCTCTCTTTTCTTGTGTTTTGACAAAGCAGCTCCGGCTCCCACCTGGTCTTCGTCCCGTCCTTGAGAGACGTGCACCACGAGCCTGTGTACCCACAGCCGCCTTTTAGCTACTCCGATCTGTCTCGGGAGGACAAAAAGGTGCCAGCCCCCCCATGACAGCGAGGCGCAGGGGCAGCTCTTGGGGGAGGAGAAGCCTGTTTGGGGTCCCCACGCAGCCTGGCTCTTAGACATTCTGTGACAAGCAAAGACGGTTGTGAGTCTGCTGCACGTGGGTGGGTCCCCTCCAGTGTCTCCGTCATGGGCAAGTGTTTCCTGCTGCCCTGTGCCACGTGTGTGTCCCACCTTCTGATTCAGCGAGTGCAGTTTGTGTCGGAGCCCTGCAGCCTCTCTGTAAACGGGGTGATCTTTGGCCTGACGTCCACGGATCTGCTGTTCCACATGGGGGCCGAGGAGATCAGCAGGTAAGAGGTACACTCCAGGCCAGTAAGTGTGGCAGCCGGCTCCCTGCAGCCTGCGAGCCGTGCGGTGCTGGGTAGTCCTGACCAGCGTGTCCTGAGGACCGCACTTCATGCCAAGCCCTTTGGCCATGTGCCATGTCCCTGTAGCCGAGAGCAGTGGACACATTTGTTGCCCTCACTCATCTAAACAGCCTGTGAGAGTCCTGGGGGCCCCGTCTACTCCAGCATTTAGCTGAGTCTTCCCCACTCCTCCCTCCCTCCACCTCCTGGCTTGTGACCTGGGCAGGCGAGGGTGCCCTCTTTGGAGGGCGGGCCGTGGGTTTGCCCTCCAGGGTCTTCTCCCGGTGGAACAGGGTGAGGGGTAGATGCAGCCAAGTCTGACCTTTTGGTTTGGCGGTTGGCTCTCCCGCCCTCCTCGACAGGGAGGAGACGGGGGAATGAGGTGGTTCGGGAAGGTGGGTGGGTGCTCCTGGTGGCTGCCAGTGGGGTGCAGACCTTGGGTCCTCTTGGCCAGGCCATGTGTTAGCCTTGATCACCAGGGTCCCTGCTGTCCCTCACCCCTGGTGCTGCCTCCCTCCTGTGGGGACAGTGTGCTCTGCTCCTGGCAGGGCTAGGCTTCCCCAGAGGTGTCCTGCTGCTGCGTCTTGGCCACTTAGCTGGGTCGCTCCTCTTCTGTGCTTGCTCCCAGCTCCTCTGGAACCTCAGACCGACTCAGCCGCATTCTCAAGCACATCCTGACCCAGAGGAGGTGAGCGCTCGCTGCCGCCAGCTGGCTGCAAAGAGAGTACTTTGGGGTCATGGAGCAGTGACAGCTCTGACTGTCAGAGCCTCCACCAGGCCACTCACTACCAGGGGACGTCACCCTGTCACCAAAAGCCTGCATTCTGTCTCCCCAAACAAAAGAAAGAGCCGGTCGGTGAAGACAAGTGCGCGGAAGTCGGCGCAGGGGCCTGGGGCAGAGTCCCTGGTCCCCGCTGCTGCTGACCCTCTCTCTCATCTGCAGCTACTACCCACTGTACCCTCCCCAGGAAGACATGGCCATCGACTATGAGAACTTCTATGCCTACGCACAGCTGCCGGTCACCCCAGACGTCCTCATAGTCCCCTCGGAGCTGAGGTACTTCGTGAAGGTAGGTCTGCGCTGGCTTTCCTGGACCTCCAGAGCTGGTCTCTGCCTTTCCCTCCTGGGCCACCCAGCACTCACCCTTTGTAGGTCTGCTGAAGGGCATGGTGGCCTCTGTGACCTAGCCCTGGGCCTGGTGGCTTTGGGGGAGAAGGTGGGACAACATGACAAATCCGTGGGTGAAGTGTAGCTGGAATGGAGCAGGAGCCACCGGTGAGTGGGAAGGCCTGGCACAGTGGCTCCCACCAGGCGTGTCAGGGCGGCCTGGAGCGCGGCACACGGGCCCTGCCTTGCCCCTCGGTGCTCTGGTGACTTCCCGCGGGATCCACTGAGGACACTTGGAAGCAGCTCAGGAGCCACTGTGGTCCCTGTACCGCGAGCCCTGCCTGCTGGGCTGAGTCCGTCACAGGGAACCCCCCAGGCAGTCCCCGTTTTCCAGACCAGAGCCGGTCCAGCCTCGGGAGGCAAGTTGTTTCTCATCCAGAAAACAAGAAACAGCTGGATGGGTTTGTCTCCGAGTATGAGCGCCGACTGTCTTCCTCCAGGGCGCCTCTCCTTTGTTCAGTCTCAGAGACGCAGGAGCAGTTCAGAGTGACCATGTGATGGCCTCCGTTTCCATTTTACAAAACCTTCTTTGGGGTCTGAGCGTCCGGCTACTCTGCCACATCAGTCCCCAGTTGAGGGCCTCTAAAGCCGGTCTTCTCCCTTCCTTCCCCAGGACATCCTCGGCTGCGTCTGTGTGAATCCCGGGCGCCTCACCAAAGGGCAGGTGGGCGGCACCTTTGGCCGCCTGTACCTCAGGAGGCTGCTGGTGGCCGGAGAGACAAGGCAGAGCCCATGTATTGCTGCCCAGGTGGTCAGGATCTGAGTCTTCGGGCCTCGCCACCCTCCTTGTGCAGCACCCAGGGGAGCAGCGGGCTCTGAGGACCTGGGTGTGGTGGGGCCCTGGCTCTGGGTCAGGCTTCCCTGGAAGGAAGCTCTCACCCCGGAATGGACACCAGTGTCCGAGGGGAGCCAGCTGGAAACAGTGCTCTGGAAGGGCGGGAAGGCTTTGGGATTTTTCTACGTGAATCAAACCCACAAACAACTTTTGGAGAAATAAAAATAAATTCTGAATGTAACTTCTGCGTTTAATCTTTCTTCCACTTTCTTTTTCCTGGTAGTATCCAAAGAATGTTGCCTATTTGACCCGTGTCCGGGGAAGGCAGAGTGCCGGTCACACTGGGTTTCTGCCAGCTCCTTGGGACTCTGGCCCCACCCTCATCCTCCCCAGGCCCCCTTGGCTGCCGAGCTGAGGAGGGGCGCTGGGCTTGGCCCTGGAGCTGGGCTGCGGAGCCAGCGCTGGCGGCGGGCCCAGCCCTCCCCACATGGACGTGCTGGGGTCCCAGCCTGACCTCTCTAGCTGCAGGAGGCGGCTTCCCTGAGCCAAAAGCCCAAGTCCCTTGTGGTAGCCACTCTACCCAGTCCCAAAGGGGCGTGGGGCTTGCCTGTAACCCAGAGCCCTCGGGCCAGGGCAGGCCTTCCCGGTCCCCACACGTCCCCTGCCCACATGTCCTTACTCTGGGGAAAGGCTGCCTGCCACGGGTTAAGTCCACCTGAGCGGGAAGCTGTCCTGCTCCGCCTGCCAGAGCCAAGTCCGGAAAACCCCTGGCGGGCGGGCGGGGGGTGTGTGAGGGAGCAGCAGCTGCCGGTCCCCTGACTCAGAGGTAATCGGTGACTTAACAGTGGCCAGCCTTGCCCCCGCCTCCCCTGAAGGAGACGGGAATCTGGAGGCAGATGGGCTGGGCCTGGGCAGTACGGCTCTCTTTCAGCACGAAGAGCTGTGCTTCGTTTCACTAGTCTTTTAGCCACCTTGGTTTTAGAGATAGGCCCCAAATTGGGGAGCTGAGTTCCCCCCCCCCAGCTCCCCACACAGGAGCACCCCGTGGCCTTGGAGGAGGCGAGGCCCCTCCCCCCACAGCCTGACTCAGTTACCCCAGTTCAAGAGCCTTTGGGTTTCTACCAAGCCAAGTACCAGGGAGAAACCGGCCCTCCCCGCCTTGGGAAACCAGGCCTGGGAAGATTAACCAGGAGCCTCTGGCCATGATAAAGGAGGGTGGGCCCTTATCACCAGAGGCCACAGCACTTGGCAATTGTCCTGTTGATTCTGAAGAAGGCTCTGGGGAATGGTAACATCTCGCACCCCCAACTTCTTCCAGACTCAGGGGGAGTCAGGCTGGGTAGGATTGGGGCGCTGGCAGAGAGGGAGGCCAGGGCAGGGAGGGGCCAGAGGCCACGGAGAGAGAAAGCTGGAACTCCCTGTCGCAGGCATGAATGAGAGCTGGGAGCCGTTGCCTGGAGACAGGTCGCGTGACTGTTGGAAACGATCCAATCCGATCCGGGAGGGCCGAGCAGGCAAGTAAGATTCAACAGAAAGAAGGCAGGACGTGGCCCAGAAGCCGGCAGGCCCCGCAGATGCGTCTCTCCGGCCTCTCTGCCACCAGACAGTTCCTTTTTGCTCATCAGGAAGTCAGTGCCAGGCGTCTGCCAGCTGACTGTCCCTAGACCCCAGCTGTGCCCAGTTTCTTGCAGCATCTGTCATCCCCAGGGCTCATGCCATCCTGTGGTAGGGCACACGATCTTGGAACAGAGGCTCTGGGAGGGAGGCATTGGTGGTGGAGGGTGGAGGCTGACTGGGTCCCCTGCGCCTCCACCCCTCCTTGGTGGCAGCTCCCTGTGTCTGCTCATGCCCCAGGTCCTTGGCACACGAGCCCAGGACAAGGTAGATAGCTCTGAAGAGCAATGTCTGGCATTCTACCCGGGGTCTCCTCCTCGCTCCCACAGGGAGCCTGGGCGGCCCTCAGGAGTCAGGCCCCGGCTCTGGCAAGGAACTAAAGGCCCCCCCCAGCTCCTGTGTGTGGGAACTGGGCGCCAGGAACAAGGCTGGAGAATTCACCCGAGGGGCGCTCTGGGTGGGTGGGCCAGCCAGGCCGGGACACGGTCCTCTGACCTCTCCATCCTGCCCAGCCTTCTGCGCCACTCAGCCTGCTGTTGTCTTTCTCTTGACCTAAGGGTCACCAGCCCTGCTCAGCTGCCTCTGGTGCTGGAGTGGCTATTTGGGCTGATTCCTTACTTCTTTGTTTCCTCTGCCTGACCCTTGGCCTGGTTCACAACAGAGCCACCTGACAGCCAGTCCTGCCTGTGCACATGTGGCCTCCTTCTCAACCGGAGCCTCAAACTTGGCACAAAACTTGACTGACTGCGGGGGAGGGAGGTTTGATAGTTAAAGGTATTTTATTGAGGTACAACAAGAACCGTACACTTCCGTGATTTTTCACTTTATCCACAATGTTGTGCAAATATCTCTACTACATTCTTCAAGAATGTTTTTCTCACTCCAAGAAGAAACCCATACCCAATAGCAGTCACTCCTCACTCCCCTTGCCCCAGGCCCTGGCAACTACTAATCTACTTTCTTTAACGATTCACCTACTCCAGGCATTTAATCTAAATGGAATCACGCAAACAGGGTCCTTTCTGATTTCTTTCATTTAGCATATTTTCAAGGTCCATTCTTGAAGTAACATGTGATAGTACTTTTTTTCATTTTTCAGGGCTGTATGATACTTTACTGTTGGCCAAACTGTATTTCATTCACTCTTTCATTCATCCATGGACAGACCCTGAGGTTGTTTCCACTTGCTGGCTGTTGTGAATATCAGACACCTCTGTATATGTTTTTGTGTGAACACCTGTTTTCAGTTCTCTTGGGTATGTTCCAAGGAAATGGAGTGTGAGAGTGCTGTAGATTTATAGAGGACAAGAAGAGGGATAGGAGTGAATGAAGGAGGGGGAAAAAGAAGAGACAGAAGAGAAGCAAAGGGCCTGAAACATTTTTTTTTTTTTTTTGAGCTGAACAATAGTGTCTAGAATGCATGGCAAGGGAGTTTGGACTGGATTCTGCCATCCCAGGGGTCTCCTGAGACTTCTGAGGACTGAGGTGGATAATATACAACCTGCACCAGAAGACTGGCAGTGCTCCCCCACTATGGAGCTGGGGGAGCCTAGAGACCATTTTATGAACTATCGGAAGACAGTCACCCAGCAGCCACTCTCCATTCCTACGGTAGCAGCACCCCAGATTTCCTGCAGGGTGACCACCTTTCCTCCACACTCTTCCTTTGCCTAAACCTAACACTGCATTGCATCTCCTGGCTTCAGTGACTGGTCAGGGATGGGTGGGAACTAAGGTGTTCCCAAGGTAAGCCTTCTTCTAGGGCTGATGGAGAAGACACGGCTGCAAGGGCAGAGTTGCTGCAGCCCCACACCACCACGAGGAGAAACACAGGACATCTGGGTGCCAGGAGTGAACAGCGGGGTCAGCACCGGCTTCTGGTGTCTGAACTGCACGGAAGCTCGTCTCCATCCCAACCGTGAACCGCAAATGCCCCTCACCCTTTCTTTTTTCTTCTTCTTTCTCTTTTTTTTTTCCCCACTTAACCTAGTTTGAATTTTCTGTCACTTGCAACCAATAGGATGAGGGCCTGAACTAGGGGAGGAGGACTGCGAGGACTGTCAAGAAACAGACAGATAAAAAGCAGCTCGGATCAGAAGGAGGGCAGCAACCACGTCCTGACACGTGACATCCACATAGCCCTCCCACCCAACCTGCCAGAGGCTGGGAGTCACTGCCTCAGGAAGCCACGGGCTGGATTCAAACTCCAGACCCTCTGTCTTCCCACCTTGCCATGCTGGTGAACATGGCCACCCAACAAGGACGGACTGAGAGGGGTCCCAGGTACCAGCCCCAGCGCCAGGAGCACATGCAGGAGGGAGGTGCGGCAGACGCGCTACGGGAGGCGCCTGGTCTGTTGGGAGGATGGGTAAAGGGCAGCACCCAAGAGGGCCGCTGGAGCCGGGAGCCGCCCTGGAGAGACGCAGGCATGGAGAGGGCACCGGGGCTCCCAGAGATCCAGAGCTGCAGAAGGAGGAGTTGGGAGCTGGTGCAGGGGCGATGGGCCAGACACTGCTGTGGAGGGGACCTTGGACGGCACTTTTCCTTAACGACAGGGCAAAGGGCGGGACTGGCTTGGGAGAGGAGAAGGGTGACAAGATTCTAGTGGGCAGACAAGAGGATGCTCCTGGACATCCATCTATGGTGGGCTCAGCTGACTGTGTTTCAGGAATTTGGGCCTCTCTGTCACCCACCCCCGTCACTCTGTGTTCTCTGTTCCTGAGTAGCCAGGGCTATGGCTGCTCCCTCTAGGTGTGCCCTGGAAATGCCCAGGGGCCTAGGCTGGGCCACCCTCAGTCCAGGGTGGACCAACTACCAGCTCTACATCCCCTTGCCCAGACCCCTTCCCCTCCTTCTTTCTCTTCCTGATCCTCCTCCTCCTCCTCTTCCTCCTCCTCCTGGGCTGCAGGCTACTCCCCACCCACCCAGAGCCCTCCTGACAGCTGAGGGCCTCCAGCTGCCTAGACCTGGGGCCTCTTAAAGGTCTCAGGGACAGCTGCTGCCCTCTGACCCTGCTGACCCTGCTGACCCTGCTCCCTGGCAACCCGGGCGCCTGTCCATGGCCTGCGGGTTCTCCTCTGCCTGCTCTTATCATTGCCACATCCTCCTGGGGTCTGAAGCATTTCATGCTGAGAAAGAGAACCAAGCCTCAGAGGCTGAGTCAACAGCCTCACTGGGAGGAGTAGGGAGGGAGAGGCCAGCGGGCAGGGGCAGCCCCCAGCCCCTCAGAGGAAGCAGCTTCCCCCAGCAGGAGTGGGAGACACTGGGTGAGGGTCTTCATCCTGTCCCCTCCGTCAGCGCTGAGCCCTGCTCACCTGC